GGGGAGGGCAAAAAAAAAAAAAGCGAAAAGGATCCGCCCAAATTCGGCCCATTCGTTTCACTTTACGCGAGGAACGAATTCCGCTTGGACGAGCTTTTTGCATTGTAGGAAGAGGCTTGTATTAAATTCAGAGGCAGAGATTACGATTAAAAAGATCGTTGCGATGCCAGCTCTAGTAGTTTGCAGCTAGCACGCGTAAGCAAATTCACTCGAAATAATTATATACAGTAGTTTTGTACGATTTCTGTACGCCTTCGTTTGTTGTTTTTCGAGCATTCTTCACTCTCATTCTCGATATCCACGATATCCGTCGAACGTGTTTTCTTCGATTAGCAGCGTTTTTCTTACACGAATTATCTGTAACCATCCGAATATTTGTTTTTTACGTATTGAACGATTAAACCGAAAATAATAGCGAGATATATTATTATACGTGTAATTGGATCTGGATAAATTACGATTGATTAATTTTGTCGAAGAAGATTTTCGATAAAAATGAGAAAAAAAAAAAAAAATTAACAAGCCGAATAATGAATCGAGAAAAATCGTCTCCTCTCGAATCGAAGAAATAAGGATAATAGGGATAAATGAAACGAATGATTTGAATAAATTTGAAATTCGTTGTTGTATTTTTGAAACGTTTTTGAATTCTTGATTTCTCGGCCAACGCGTAACTTTGATGCAATTTAACTAAGCAATATTAATTAAACATTCCTGAAGAGGCCCGCTATGCCAAGATGTTCGCGATGGAAACGCTTGTTACGTGCCAAATCTCGTGCCCGAAGTATGCACATGTTCGAGATACGTTTGAAGTACAATAATATTGGTGCGACTTTGGATGAGGCGAGCATAAATATCTATTCTAAATTGACACGTGCAAATTCACTTGATCCAATTTCAAAATACAATAGTAGTTAAGTAATTAACACGTTCGATGAGAACGTACATCTTGGCCACGTTTAATTTTACAATATGAGGAAAAGATAAGAAAAAAATTAAAATTATATAATCGTATGATTTATCGAAGTTTCATGAAAATTGATTAAATTTTATAAAATTAATAAATTCTTAATTATTCTTCTTAACAAATTGCTTATCGTACAAGTACGAATTAATATCGAAGGAAAAATATATAATATTATTCATTTATGTCGTGAAAGTCCATATAGTCTATTAATAAGCAATGCGACGAAGAGCTCGAGATGTCACGTGACACCGATCAATTAATAAACTAATATTTCGACACAAGTAATTTTTTATGTTTTCTTTTTTTTCTTCTTTTTTTTTTTTTTTTGTAAAGCGGCTATCCGGAAAGGCAACGTTTCATCTTTTCAGAGAGAAACTCGTGACAAAAGAATCGTTCCCCTATTGGAGGAAACGTGGAAAGTTGCCACGACGCCCTCGAGCGCCGGCTCGTTTGTTCACGGGACGGATGAGAGAAGGAAAGCGAGGTTTCGAAATCGCGTGTGTGCATCGTCGGCATCTCCCTCGCTTTCGTCCGCCACGGAACCGTTTTCCAATTGAGGCGACAAAAGAGGCGCCACTGTCGTCGATTGCTTGTTTCTCGCTAACTACTTTCTTCTCTCTGTGATAAAACGCGAGACTTGTTATTTACGTGGCAAAGAAGGAAGTAACGAACGAAGGAAAAATAAGAAATCGTGGATAGAAACGAGCATGGAGTGAAGAAGCGTCGACGAACGAACAAGGCACGAATTCTGCAGCTGTAGTTGACTTTTCTTCGGTGTAAGTTTGATTTTTTTTTTTTTGCAAGGCTTCGAAATTTCGTTTTCAAATTCGGTTTATACATATGTATATTATTTTTCTTCATTTCGTTTCCTTTCTTTCTGTCTTTTCTTTTTTACTTTTTTTTTTTTTTTGAATTGGCTATTCGTATTATTTGTGGAAAAGGTAAGAATTCGATGCTTTTTGAGGTTATGCTTCGCGAATAATTCGGCAAGGAGATATAGTAACGTTAATTGGAAATCTATTAATGCACCCTTTATCGATTGCTTGAATCGACGCACATTTTTGTAAAATTTGAAAAACAATGGAAATGTATTCGATTAAATTTCTCTTTAATCACGAGAGAATTACTCGTCGTTGTTAGGTGTATAACTTCGTCAGGCGGATAATGACAGGTGATCACGAGAAAGAAAAAAAAAAAAAAAAAAAAGAAAAAGGAAAAAGAAAATAAGATGAGACGTGGGCAAGAGTTGTTGGGTGTCACAGAAATTCACAACACTGAAACTCTAACGAAATGTAATATACAACCTTCACATTCCCGTTGTTATTCTCTTTGCTGTTCGATCGAATAACGTGTCGCTCGTAAAAAGCTATTTGTCGAGTTTTTGTCGTGTTGAAACGAAAAAGACAAAAAAAAAGAAAGAAACAGAAAACGCGATGAATTTTTTGCAATGCACAACGCGGATATCGAAATAAATCTTTTTTCAAGAGAACCGTGTTCCATGCATTCCTTGAATTTCTTTTGTTCTTATTATTATTTCTATGCGTTATCGCGTTACTTGTATCACAATTGTGCAACAAAATGATGAAATAATGTAAAAAAAAACCGATAAAGCGAAAGAAGAACGAATAGACAACGAGCGCAGGATCGAACAGTTAGATTGATGAAGATAGAAAAAGGATGAGACGTGGGCAAGGGTTGTTGGGTGTTACAGATGCGGATTTCTGCTGCGGAATGCGATGGCCTGGTGACGCCACCGGCTTGTCGAACCGGTCGTCGACCTCCTCTAACGACCCCAAGAACCAGTACAAGAACCAGAACAATAACCACTACACGTCGCACCAACACCTTCGCACCCACCTTCGCGGTCCGTCCTTTTCTGCTTTTACTTCTCTCGTAATCTCGTCTAGAGAAATAATTAAGAACCACCACGATTCTTTCATACGACCCGACCCATTCAGTTTCTTCGCGCGGATATTATACATGCACTTGCTTTTTCTTCTACTTGTTCTTGGATGTGCGGTAAAAGTTGAACGATTTAAAAAAGGAAAAGGATTTATGAAATATGTAATTCTGATCGAACGTCTCTTTTGAATGTTTGTATTTTTTTTATTTTTTATTTCGAATCGAAATTTGATCATGATTTAATTCTAACCAAACAGAGAACTTCCCTTTGTAATGTTGTTTGTTATTTAATATTTCGTCGTGTTTGATCCAACAATTTTAAAACTGATAAAGTGATTGTTCATCCA